CGCATGATCCTTCCTGCTCTGAAAATTGACTTTTTTAAGAAGCATTGCCTGTCAAAGCAAAATGCGGTCTGCATTCATCGAAACGACCATGCAATATAATTCTCCAGGTCACTATTACCTAGCCTCTACACGCCAGGCAGCGTTGATCAAAAGAGCAGACCATCGAACACAAATTTAGAGAATGCAACAACTACAACATTTGTTCTGAATAAATTCATTTTTGTGTTAAATAAATCCATTATTTTCGCCCTGGACAGCCGCCGGAAGGCACATGGAATAATTAGACAAAATCCTCTGCGTACTGCACCTCTGACGAGAAGTTAAAGTCCTGGCGGGAAGCCAAAATCAACCATGTGCTGATAAAACTGTTTCTTTTCGGAAAGTTGTACAGAAGCAAGTTGAAAACGGTGCGACCCCCTGGCATATGTCAGTACCGCTTGGGCAAACAAAAAACGTACAGGTTTTTCTACTGGTCGAATGCCCTTTACCGTGAGAATAGCGCCATCCACCACTGTACACTGAGCCCCTCCAACACGGGGATCGGCGCTTGATCAAAACCAAAAAAGCCGAGCACAGTACTGTACCACTGGTCATTCTTTTCGATTATTTGAATTTAGTCAGTTGAAAGAATTTCAATGAGATTTTATAACAAAAAATCGCAATAGGCTTACTGGTTCGGCGTGAAGAAGATGAGTGTAATCTTTCCGAACTTCGGGTTTTGATCCACGACTTCCTCCTCCTCCTCCTCCTCCTCTGCCAGTCATGTGCGCCATTCCACGCCCGAGGCCTCGCCTGTTGCTTCTTTGAATTCCACCGCGACTAGAGCAAAAACATTTCTCTGTATTGTCGTAAATTTAGAAAGCATCACTCTCAAAATGATAAATTCGGATTTTAGAAACCATCACGAGTAAGTGCAGGTGAAAGGCTTCAAACTGTTTAATGCAAAAGAAAAAACTTGAGGCAACAGTAACCTTTTGCCTATTTGCTCACGAATTTGTCGCATAAATTTTTTCCCTTGGTAAACTCAGTAGCCAAAAGGCAGTAGATGATATGAAGCTCGATGATCACACCCAAAATGGAGCAATTGCGGGCTCGGAGACTGAAGTCACGCTAGCGGCGGTGGGCAGAGGGAAGACGTAGGAGGCATGGAAAAGAATGAGGAGGGTTGACTCCTTCCTTTCCCCCTTGTTATTCTACCTACTCTGCAGATGTCTCGTCTTGAGACTCAATTTTCTCCTCTAACCCTCTTCCCC